ATCCTGTCTCTCCCTGGTTGCTCCACTGGAGAAGCAGCAGCTAGCTGTCAGATCCCCTGCCGCAGATTCACTCGCTCCGGCCACACGCCTTCCCTACCATGATGGACCTGGTTCCCCTTGAACCAGGAGCTCAGACCTGTTTCTCCTCATCATGTTGCTTCTGGGATGAACAAAGTAACTGATACTGAAAGTTGGTGTCAAGAGTGGATTGTTACAATGATAAGCCTGACATGTGCGGAGCCCGGCTTTTGGAACCAGTTTGTGAGGATGGAAGAATTTGGAGCTATGGGCTGAAGAAAACCTAGCGTGCTGGCAGCAGAGACTAGTGGGCTCTTGTGGGGGTGTGGAAGGCAGGGTGCCATGAGAGACCCAGTGCTCATAGGTTTTAGAGGGGAACCGGACACCACTGGGAATTGTAACATTCATGTTACATTCAAGCAAAGGATTCTGTTTGTGTCCTGACAATTTGAATGTGGCTTAATTCAACACTAACGGACTAATGATTTGGTGGAGGGCATTTCCTGACATCATAGCGTTGGGGTTATGCTGTGGATGTTGCTCGCTGTGTTCAGCCAGGTGTGTCATAAGAACTCAGAGCAAACAATATGACAGAAAGACAGGAAGATGTCCATCTGGACGCAGGACTGAGCCATGTCGTTTCAGGGTGGGTGTGGAGGAGGGCCTTATAATTGTTAAAATGATTTGTGATGTGACAGGGCAAGGTGGTGCAGAGTTTCTCCATCTCGAACTCTTGCCATTTCAGGTTTAATTAGAATTTGACGTCCTTGATGAGGAATTCGTGGAAAATTACCCAACTCTATTCTAGGAACCAAGACGCTCCAGTTAACACACCGTCTGTTAAACGGTTGGCACAAAACCTCCCCTTGCAGCTAACAGCTTATCTTAGCTTCTGCTTGACTGCCTGCACAACGCCCCACCCCCCAAAAACTTAACTGGTGTAGCACCTACCCTCCAGCTCCTGAGCAAGAGAACAGAATGTAGTTTTGCCTTTAAAAGCCCCTTCCTCAAATGCTCAGGGCTGCCTGTAGTACGAATCTTAACAGGTCCTATTAATAAAATCAAACCTGAAGCCAGGTATTGGGGTGAACAGTGGAAGATCAGAGAAGCAGAACAAGCCACAGCTACCTCACTTCACCAATTCCTCAGCTGATCCTGTTTCCTCAGACTGGATGCCTCTCAGCTAAACTGTGCTGCTCCAAAGCCTAAAAGCTTAACCAGGCCAGTTCCTGGTTTTCACACCTTATATACCCTTCTGCTTTCTGCCATCACTTCCTGGAATTAAAGGCGTGAGTCACCATGCCTGGCTGTTTCCAGTGTGGCCTTGAACTCACAGAGATCCAGAGGGATTTCTGCCCTTGGAATGCTAAGATTAAAGGCGTGTGCTACCACTGTCTACCTCTATGTTTAATACTGTGGCTCCAGGGGCCAGCTACTCAGCTACACAGCAAGCCACGAAGCAAGAAGTAAAGAAAAGACATAGAGAAAGGCAAACGCCCAGAGGCAAAAGGTAGATGGAATAAGTTAAGAGAAGCTGGCAAGAAACAAGCCAAGCTAAGGCCTGGCATTTATAAGTAATAATAAGTCTCCCTGTGTATTTATTTGGGAGCTGGGTGGCAGGCCAGAGTTAAAAACAACCAACAAGATGCTCTTTGGCTCCTTCTGTCTCCACCTAGCCTTGAAATACATTTTCTTTTCCTTTGACCTAACCTTTGGATTGTTATACCCTTGAGATGGAGCTGGTTTGACTTGACAACCTGCAGAAATGGATAGGTGTAGGGTAGGTTGAGGACAACCTGCAGAGCAGATATGTATCAGGTAGAAAGGTGGTTTGGTGTGTAAAGTGTTTGCCTCACAAGTGTGAAGATCTGTGCTCAGATTCCAAGCACCCTTGTGAATGCTGGACATGGGGTGGGCATCTGCAATCTCGGTGATGAATGAAGACAAGTAGATTCCTGGAAGTGAATTGGCCAACTAGCCTGCAACACAGGGTGAAATTCTAGACTAATGAAACCCTCATTCTGATTTAATTTGTGTTGCTGTTATCAAATACTTTGACAAAAAGCAACTTAAGGGAGAAGGAGGATTTTTCAGTTCACAATGTCAGGTTACAATCCATCACCATGAGAAAAATCAAGGCAGAAACTTCAAATAGCTAGTTCTAACACATCCACAATGAAGGGAGAGATAAATGAATGTATACATGTTTATTTGCTTGTGCTCAGCCTGATTGATTTCTTCACCTTCATGCAGTTCAGGACCCCCTGCCTAGGGTATGTTGACAGCTACCATGTCTTGGGTATTTCCTCATCAAATAACTTAAGACCCACTCCCCACCCCCAACACCAGGCCAAGCCAGTGTGGACAATCTCACCTTGAGTCTTTCTTCCTAGGTAATTCTGAATTGTGTCAAGTTGACCACTGAAGCTGACCATCAAATGAAATTATAAAATTTGCAGATAAATTGATGGAACTGGAAAACAGCATACTGAGTGAGCCAAACCCAGGAAGACAAATGTTATACGTTCTCATTCATATGTGGATCTTAGCATAAAATCTTTAGATTTGCGTGTTTAACTTGCAGTACCTGTAGAATACAGGAAACTAGAAAAGGACTGTTGTTGGGGAAGAGGATGAAAGCTCCGAAGGGAGAGGCCAGAACAGAACACAGGTAATAAGAAGGAGAAAGGGAGAGTAATGGGGAGGGACGTTGTGGTTGATTGAATAAGAATGGCCCCCACAGAATCAGACATTTGAATGCTTAGTCTCAGGGAGTGGCAATATTTGGAGATGTGTCCTTGTTGGGGTAGGTAGGTATGGCCTCATTGGAGGAAGTATGTCATTCGGGGTGGGCCTTGGAGTTTTCAGAAACCCAAGCCAGGCCCAGTATCTCTCTCTCTTCCTGTTGCCTGAGGATCCAGGTGTAGAACTCTCAACTTCTTCGGAACCATGATGTCTGCCTGTGTGTTGCCATGCTTCCTATAAGTACAATGGACTAAACCTCTGAAACTCTAAGCAAGCCCCAGTTAAATGTTTTCCTTTATAAGAGTTGCCATTTTTATGGCCATCTTCATAGAAATCATACAGTGATGAAGACAGAGGTTCACTTAACCTCTGGAGAGGGATGAGAGTGGAGGTCAGAGGAGGGGGTGGAGGGAGGGATAACTAATACTAAGGATATTTGAAAAAGCCACATGGGAACATACTTATAATTACATATATATATGTAATAATTTAATTGGAATTAACCTATGCAGGGGATAATGGTCCTCCAAGAAGTCATAGGTTGCCAAATAAAAATTCCAATGCCAAGTAAGAGAGAGCCCCCCTTGAGGTACAGGTCAGGGATCTCCTGAGACCATCAAACAACACAGGATATCTGCACTTCTCTTGGTTACCCACCAGAACTTAATGGTAAGACCTTATTGCTGAAGACACCACACATGGTGTTTCTAGGATGTGGAGAAATCATGTTAGTACAGACCAGAAAGTTTTCTCCTTGTTGGGTAGCTCTTGCAGTACTTTTATAGCGGGTGCTAGGTAGTCTGCTGGTAGAAAAAGTCATCAACAGTCTCACCTCAGTGAATGGTCAACATAGCAAGCTATGCCCAAGGGTCCAACAGTGATATGAATATTATGAGGGTCACCAACTGCTTTCTGATTGGATTTAAGGCAGTGGTTCTCAACCTTCCTAACACTATGACCCCTTAATATTATTCTTCATGTTGTGGTGACCCCCAGCCATAAAATTACTTTTTTTATTTTATATTTTTGTTGCTACTTCATAACTGTATTTTTGCTACTGTTATGAATCATAATGTAAATATCTGATATTCAGGATATACGACCTGATATATAACCCCTGTGAAGGTCATGACCCACAGATTGAGAATCACTGATTTAAGGCCTGTGTCACAGGCCTAGGACTGTAAATCTGGTCATGGTTGGGGAACTCACAGCTCACAAGGTTGAACCTATTACTATTATTTTGTTGAATGATGTAGTATGTAACTGCCCTCTAAATTTACACCTCTATACCTGTAGATTAGTTTATTAAGCTCTCAGACTTCATCAGAGAAATTTGTTTGTGTGCAGTGGATGATGGTTAATGAAGAAACTTATAATTGGTCAAAGTACAGATAATTAGTGTCTGTGGAGTGCTCACCAACAATTAGGATGATGATATCACCCTTACCACAGAGATTCAGGGGCCATTAAGACAAGGATGCAGAAAGATTATTAGAGCCAGAGGTTGGGGAAGACCAGAGCAAATCAGTATCTCCTCAACATGACGGGACCACGGCACTCATAAACTCACGGCATCTGTGATCAGCTGCACACAGACAGTCAATGTTCTAGCACAGAGTGGGTGGTACCCATGAGCCCTTCTACCCCTAACTGAGGGGCTTTTGACAGCTTCTAGGGGAGGAGAGTCAGTTTTCTTTAAGGGTGTACCCCCCCCCCCCCGCCCTGGTAGATCAACCAAGCTTGTGTAAACAGCAGCAGCAGCAGCAGCAGTAGCAGCAGAAAAAGGGAAGTAGGTAGGAAAGTGGAGGGAGTGGATCTGGGGAGAAAGGGGGAGAAACAGGGGATGAATATGATCAAGATACATTGCATGAATGTATGAAACTCTCAAAGAATTAATAAAAATATTAAAGCTATTACAACTTTATCTCAAAAATTAAAAAAAAAATGAGGGGGTCACCTGAGCACCCACACCTGAGGTTTTCTCCGGCCATCTGTGTGCACACCTACTGTGCACGGATACGTGTCTAGCATAGCACACACACACCCACACCCACACCCACAACCACACACACACTAAATGAACACACATAAAGAACCATTTGGTTCTTCTTGATTTTCATTCTTTATTTCCAACAATTTCATTCTCTCTCTTTGAGGAAATCACAAAACTTCTTAGAATTAGAGTTAGAGATCTGTTTCACTTTAGGATAGAATACAAAACCAAGGATTGTGGGAAGAGGTGAGAGTTGAGTTCACCACGGCTCAACTTTTTTCTCCTGAACAAACTGCCCGTGGGGTCCCTCTGCATCTGGCGGCAAAAGGGCCAAGTACACGGGGGTCTCTGCTCCTTCTTCAGGGCTCTTGGTGGCTGTTGGTCCCGCCATGTCGGTTCTCACCCACCCGGGGCAACAGGCATTGAGGAGGATCTTGTCCCCTCTCCTCTGCTCGCTGAGTTTCCGGGCGTGGATTCTGGACAGGACGGTCACCCCGATCTTGGTCACCGCATATGCACTGTCCGGCCAGCCTTCTTTCTCATGCACTCCTTTCTTCGTGTCTTCCACAAACTTGTTCATGAGCCCCACCAGCTCCTCCTCTGTGATGGTCTCACTGCGAAACTTCTGCTGCAGCTCTGGGCTGCAGTTTTTCAGGGCCCTGAGGCTCACCATGCTCGACATGTTCACCACTCTGCCTAAAACACACAACAGGAGTGATGAGTTCCAAGGAGCAAGGGGTTTAACATAGGAAATTCCCCCTGGAGAGAATCCCAACAGTGTGCATTTATAAAAGAGCATACACAGATAGTTGCCATGGTAGCACAAGGCAAGCTTGGGGCAGATGGAGCAGGCAAGTGGTATTGAAAAGAGCTGCCCTCTGAGGTCTATGGAGCGCAGCCGTAAGAAGCACTGGAATCTTCTAGGAGGGTAACTGGGACAGAGGATGGGAGTTTAAATTGCATGTGTATGTTTTTAAAGTGGTTGCTTGTCTTTATTGGTGTCTATCACAGAGACACGTGTGTCATCCACAGTCCATTGCAGATATCTTTGATGCCTCCATGGCCTCTTTTGTTGGTGATGAGGTGGGACTTTCCAGGTCTACTGTGAAGGGCTAATGTGGAAAAGAGTTCACACTGGTTACTTGTATCTATTTTATTTACTCTCTCATCACCACAACTAACCTGCCCCTGTGAAAAGAGGAGGGGGCTATCTACAGTGGGATGGGAAGCCCAAAAAGAAAGTCACCCGAGAGAAGCTGGCTCACTGGCCAAATTATTTGTGGCATTAGAATTTTTATAATGAAACACGTATGCTAGTTTGTCATGTGCAGGTCATTGGGGAGCTAAAAGGAGCCCGGAGGAAAGTGGAGTCAGATCATAGTAATCAATATAAACCATGCTAAGGCTTGGGCTTCCCACTGAAGGATTTTGGGTGGGGAATAGCAAGTTAAGACAACATGAAAGGAAAGGATAAGGCCCAGGTGAGTTTGTAACTGTGTGGATTGTCAGCAGAGGGCCTTTTGTAGAGCTGAGCTGACAGACCAGGATGCAGGAGACTCCTGGGTGCAATACTCAGTTCTGACTCTGAGGTGAGGATACTCTGAGGGTAAGCATGGTGATTCTCCCAAACTGGTTGGTTACCGAGATGATTTATAGAGAATTAGGGCTAGATTGAGGGAGTATGTGATGGGGAGGCAGAAAGGCAAGGGATGGATGGATGTCAGGAGAAGAGAATTCTGGGAGTGCTCAAGGCAGGTAGGAGAATTTTCTGGGTGGTGTATCCAGTGGGTAGGTGTTGATGAAAGCTCCATCAGTGGGCCTTGGGAACACAGAGGGACATGGGACAAATGGACTTTTGAACTGAGACTTGAGGGAGGTATACAAATCATGTCACAGTGAGCTTCAGTGGGTGCTGAAGGAAATGGCAGAATGGAGGCTCAGCAAGGGGGTCTGTGCAGCTGCAGGTGGAGCCGGAGGGAAAGCTGGGCCTGAGATGCCAGGCAGACCCCAGGAGGGCAGACCCCAGGAGGGCAGACCCCAGGAGGTCAGACCCTAGGAGGGCAGACCCTAGGAGGGCAGACCCCAGGAGGGCAGATCCCAGGGGAACAGACCCAGGAGGGCAGACCCCAGGGGAGGAGACCTCCCAGGAGAGCAGACCCCAGAAGGGCAGACTCCCCCAAGAGGGCAGACCCCCAGGAGGGCAGACCCCAGGGGGGCAGACCTCCCAGGAGGGCAGAGCAGATCACCTACCAGACTCACCTTGGGGTTTTATTAGAGGAAGTAGCGCCATGCAGACAGCCTGGGTACCAAAAAAGTTTGTTTTCATTGCTGCTTCTGCTTGAATGTAAAAGTGGGTCAGATCAGTGCCTTTAGGGGAGAAAGAAGAGCAATAGAGAGCAGTCATCAGTCAGAACCTGACACAATGGTGGACCTGAAGTCTAGTTAGGTAAGTCCTACTGTGGTGGTTTGAATGAGAATGGTCCCCACAGGCTCGTAGATTCAAATGCTTAGTCACCAGGGAGTGGAATTGTTTGGGAAGGATCATGGGATGTGGCCTTGTTGGAAGAGGTGTGTCACTGGAAGTGGGCTTTGAGGTTTCAAAAGACCACATCTGTAGTTGGACTTACATGAAAGCTTGGCCGATACCTTAGGCTTGTTTCTACCTAGTTCTTATAACTTAAATTAACCCATGTCTATTAATTTACTTTCTGCCCTGTGGCTTTATTACCTCATCTCTGTATGCCCATCCTGCTTGCTCTGCATCTCTTGGTATCTCTGCCTTCTTTTCCCCAGGGTTCTCTATGTTCCAAAAATCCTGCCAAGCTATTGGCCTAGCTATTGCCTAGCTTTTTATTAAACCAACCAGAGAGACACATCTTCACAGTGTACAAAAAGATTATTCCACAACACACAACAGGTCTAGTTCCCTTCTCTCTGCCTGCTGCCTGCAGATCAGGATATAAAGCTCTCAGCTACTGCTCCAGCACCAGGCCTGTCTGCTTCCCTACATGATGATCATGGACCAGTCCTCTAAAATGTAAGTGAGTCCTCAATTAAATACTTCATTTTATAAGTTGCCTTGGTCGTTATGTCTCTTCATAATAGAACAGTCCTAAGACACCTACCAATAAGTAATCCTTGTGCCTCTGTGAGGCTCCTGTTTGATAATCCTGTATTTTATCACGTGGCATCACTCCTGGTGCTGAGGTAAAGGCATCCTACAGGGGATCTTGGTGCAAAAGACCCCTCCTCATTTCTTGCTTATTTCCAAATCAGTTAGAACTAAACCCAGCTGGCCTTAAGATCCAATCACAGACATCCCCTTGACATAAACCTGCAAAGGACCCCAGAGTCAAGCCAGATACCTGGCTGTAAGGTTCTTTGAGTGGAACCTTCTATATATTAGCCTATTATACCAGAGCTATATAAGTATGCCATCTTGGGTAAAATTATCTTGGGTAAAATTGGTCCCTGGACCAGCCCTAAATTCCTATCCAGTGTCACCCTGAGCTACAGTTTAACTGCCTGACTGTTGGACTGTTTTGTCTCTGCGTTTGTGAGCAGCTTTGCTGTTGCTGATGTCCAGAGCTGCATATAAATGTCACATTGCATTGTTTGCCCTTAAAAATGCAAAGCACCCGGCCATTGGGTTTACTTCCCACTAATCTGCTTGAGACAGTCCTGCCAGCATTGAACGAAGACTTCATTCAGCTTACTCAGCCTCTCAGGGATTTTCCTCCCCAGGCACCCTATAACACTGGAATATTTATTTGTTCTTGCTCCTCTCGAGGAGCCTATTGAGACCTCCACTAGCTAAAGGTGCCCCCCCCCACCCCTCTGCACTGCCAGGCCAGGAGCAGACAGACCTCCTCGCTGGGAGTCCTTGAAGAAGTCATCTCTTCCCGGTGGCTTATTCTTGGGCCAGGTGCTAATGCCCGCGTTGTTGACCAGCACGTCCAGTCCCCCGTACTCCTCAAGCAGAAAGTCGCGCAGGGCGCGGATGCTCTGCGGGTCATCGATGTCCAGCTGGTGGAAGCGCGGGCTCAGGCCCTCCGCCTGCAGCTGCTGCACCGCCGCCTGGCCCCGCGCCTGGTTCCGCGCCGTGAGCACCACGTCCCCGGAGAACTTCTGACACAGGTCACGTGTGATGGCAAAGCCGATGCCCTTGTTAGCCCCAGTTACCAGAGCTACCTGATTGCGAGATGACATAGTTGAGTAGACAGTGAGAGACACCTTCCACAAGAACTACCTCAGCCGACTCCCGGCTACTAAGATGTTTTTGGACTTGAGAGTCTGTGTGAATATCTGGAGTATCGTGTGCCTTGGGGACCTTTGGCCCAGAGGCTTGAGCAGTTTTGGGCACTGCCCTTGGCACAACTCAGTAGAGGTTCAGAGCAAACAAGACGAACAAGTCTGAGTTAATGATGGATCAAGTGTCCGTTTTGCAGCGAGACATCTTAGTCTCGGAAATGGCCAATCGTCTTTGTTGGTGAGTGTTAAACCAGGGATGGTACACGTGTTGGCACTGCACATGGATTCAGTTTTATAATAGCTTACCACAAGAGAAATTGGATAGTTGATAACAGTCTGAATGTGGAACGTGTTGATAGACAGTTAAGACAAGGGAGAAAGGCGAGACCAGCTTGTAGAGACCCAGAGGACCCCTGGGTCCAAGCCTAGCACTTTGTCCTGACGGGCTTTTAGAAGGTCATGGTCGGACTGACCTGGAAAGGAAAATGCTGGACTTTGCCAAACAGCTCTGAAGTTCTTGGAAGCTACTTACCTGGCAGCCAGGAACTGTTCAGTTGGTCATGTGACTAGGTCTGACCTTTCACGTCTGCTTCTCTATCCTTAACTTTCTGAGGCTCCATCTTACTCGGAGAAATGAGATCTGCCCTGACGATTTGTTCTTCTTGGAGTTTGTAGCATTTCTCTGCAAATGAAATAAGTCTTTACAGCGAGTGTAGAAGGAGCTCTAAGGAATGAGTGGGGACCTGATGGTCCGCTGCGTGTCTGAAAACAAAGCAAAAAACAAAACCGCAGCTAATTCTTGGCTAGGTTTTCCATCAGGGCAGGACACATTTTTAAGTCATCACAGGCTGACACACTGGGTACTAGAAAGCCATCCTTGTCCCTGCAGGTCAGAATGGCAGCTTCCAGGGTACAGCGCAGCCCCATAGAGTACTTTAGAGGAACCAAGGTGCACTGTTTTGTTTAAATTTTAATAAAAATTATATTCGTATCTGTTGCACGTGGAGCACATCCCCCCGATATTCCCTGCCTCTGTCTAGTCCCACCCCTTCGTCCTCTCTTCCCTACTCACCTTCATTCCTCTTTCATGTCCTGTATGTTTATCTATATCTCTACTAAATCTTGGATCCAAAAACGGGAAGAGGCATGGGCATGTGATGTTTGCCTTTCTGAGGCTTAATTTGGTGCTTAACAGGATTACCTTCAGTTGAATCCATTTTCCCATAAATGACAAAATTCTGCTTTTCTTTGTATTGGAAATTTCCAGTGTGTGTGTGTGTGTGCACATTCCTCCATTATTGGATACCTAGGTTGCTTCTATAACAGCAATGTGAACTGTGCCTCGGGAGGCACAGGTGTGCAAGTACCTCTACAATATCTTTTAGTGCTCCGGGTAAACACCTAGGACTGCAGGAGCAGAGTAAGAGGATAGACTGATTTTTCCTTTTTTTTTGAGAAACCCCCTGTTATAGTTAGGGTTTTATTCTTGTGAAGAGACACCACAATCAGGGCAACTCTCCTGAAGGAAAACATTTACTTGGGGCTAGTATTAATGGAAGTATTAAGGAAACTCCATGTAGTTAAAAGGGAGGTTTATTTTGGGGTAACTTACAAGTAAAGGGATAGTTTACAGGGTCCAGGAGAGGTGAAATGCAGTCCAGTGGTGTTCTCTGGAGAACTCTGCTCGGTCTACCTCCAGCATCCAGGATCCAGGAATCAAGAGAGCCGGCACATCCGGATTTCAGGTCTTAAGGGCTCCTGTCTTGGTCCTATCTCGTAGGTGTGACAGTTCCGGGAAGCCTCAATGGGGGTAGTACTTCCAGATCAAAGCTGGAAAAGCTACCCACTATAGGCTGGCTTACAGTTCCAAGGTTTAGTCCATTGTCATCATGGTGAGAAGCATGACAGCATGCAGACAGACATGGTGCTGGGGAGGAGCTGAGAATTCTACATATGGATCCTCAGGGAACAGGCAGAGAGAGTCCCTGGACTCCGCTTGAGCGTCTGAAACCTCAAAGCCCAACCCCAGTGACGCACTTCCTCCAATAAGGCCACACCTCTTAATAGTGCCACTTCCTATGAACTTCTGGGGGCCAGTTTCATTCAAACCATCACATTCTGTGCTGCTGTCTGTAGTAACTGGACTAGTGCATAATCCCACCAGCAGTGGTTATGGACTCCTGCTGTTACTTGTTTTCCTTTAAAATTTACTTATTTATTTTATTCGTGTGTGTGTGTGTGTGTGTGTGTGTGTGTGTGTGTGTGCTTTACCTGAATGTCAGTATGTACACCATGTGCACACCTTGTACCTATGGAAGCCAGAGAGGGTGTCCTGTCTGTTACCTGCCCCTTAAGCTAGGGATATCTCTTCCTCCAAGGCCCAACCTGAGACCCAGAGGGGGAACTAAAGGAAAGATTGCTAAAAGATGTCCCTACTGTCTGGGCTGTAGATAATTCTCCTGGTTTGGCCAAGCATGTGCCCTAGGTAATAGTACAACTGAGGGTTATGCCCATCTGGGTTAAACAGTACCCTGTTAGTTCAGAAGCCAGGGAAGGGATCAGTACCCTCATCAGATGCCTCCCCGAGGCAGGCATGCTCAATTCACACCAGTTGGCCTGGCACACTCCTTTATCACTGGTACAAAAAGCCAGGAACCCAAGACTTCAGACCTGCACAGGACTTAATTAAGGACTGAAGAAGTGGATAGAAATTATTCACCCAGTTGTCCCTGATCCCTGTACTCTGCCCATCATGTGACCACAAGCATAGAAGGTGGATGGGTTTAAAAGGTGCATTTTTCCCCATTCCTCTGTCAGAATGGAGTCACTCCATCCTTGCATTTGAATGGGCCAATCCTGGACTGGGAACACAGGGACCACTGACTTGGACTCGATTGCCTCAGGGATTCAAGACTTCCTCCACCATCTTTGCATCTTTGATGAGGACCTTAACCAGGACTTACGCTGTTTTTGAAGTGAGTACCCAAAGTTTACCCTGTTCCAATATATGGATGGCTTATTATTGGCTGCCAAGGATAAAGAGGCTGTTTAGAGGCTACTCAAAGACCCCCAAGGACTCTGGCTCGATTAGGCTACTGCGTCTCCAAAAAGAAAGCTCAGCTTTGCACTTCACAGGTCACCTATTTGGGGTATGAACTGAAATAAGGGAAAAGACTATTGTCCAAGGTCTGCATAGAGACTATAATGAGAATCCCTACCCCAGCCACAAAGAAGCAAATCAGAGAATTCTTGGGGGAAGGTCAGATATTGCTGCCTCTGGAGACTTTGCTGAGATTGGCAGGCCTGTGTATTGAGCCACTGTGGGAGACAATGTCCCCTTGGAATAGACTGCAGAACATGATCAGGCTTTTAAGAACTTAAAGGAGGGGGGCTGGAGAGATGGCTCACAGGTTAAGAGCACTGGTAGCTCTTCCAGAGGTCCTGAGTTCAATTCCCAGCAACCACATGGTGGCTCACAGCCATCTGTAATGAAATCTGGTGCCCTCTTCCGGCATGCAGACATACATGCAGATAGAGCACTGTGTACATAATAAATAAGTTTAAAATAAAATAAAATAAAAGACCATAAAGGAGACTGGTGTAGTGCTGTGGGATGGTCTGTATGTCAAGTGTGTTGCTAATTGGTCAATAAATAAATCACTGATTGGCCAGTGGCCAGGCAGGAAGTATAGGCGGGACAAGGAGGAGAATAAAACTGGGAAGTGGAAGGCTGAGTCAGAGAGACACTGCCAGCCACCACGATGACAAACAGCATGTGAAGATGCAGGTAAGCCACGAGCCACATGGCAAGGTATAGATTAATAGAAATGGGTTAATTTAAGCTATAAGAACAGTTAGCAAGAAGCCTGCCACGGCCATACAGTTTGTAACCAATATAAGTCTCTGTGTTTACTTGATCGGGTCTGAGAGGCTGTGGGACTGGCAGGTGAGAGAGATTTGTCCTGACTGTGGGCCAGGCAGGAAAACTCTAGCTACAGTGCAGGCCCTGCATGAACTCTCCCTGACATTACCAAGCCCCTCCGTCTTTATGCCCATGAAAGAAAAGACCTTGCTAAGGGAGTCCTGACCAAACCCTGGGTCCTTGGAAAAGGCCAGTAGCCTATATTTCAAAAAGAGACTGGATCCAGGGGCCTCTGGATGGTCTCCTTGCCTGTGGGTTATAGCAGCTACTGCAGTTCTTGGTGAAGAATCAGACCAGCTTACATTGGGACAAAGTATAAGACCCTGCATGCAGCAGAGTCCTTGCTCGGGGTGAAACTAACTGATGGATGTGACATACTTCTTTGACTCAATGCCAAGCTCTCCTTGTAGACAAAGACAGACTGACATAATGAGTCTTTGGCCATCAGCTCTGCCACCTTGCTGCTGGACGACGACCCAGAGGTACCTGTCCATGACTGTCTTGAGATGTTGGATGTCATCTCAGGACTCATCAGACCTGACAGATGTTCCTCTTATTAGCAGAGATGTTGTACACCGATGGCAGCAGTTTTGTCAAAGAAGGAATCAGGTATGCAGGGGTGGTGCTGGTTACAGGCCAACAAGAAGTCACTGGGTACAAGCCCTACCCAGGACACGTCTGTGGTGGTATTGTGTTCGCCAAAATATTGTGTACCCTAATAAGCTTATCTGGGGTCAGAGAACAGAAAAGCCACTAGATACTTAGGATAGGCAGTGGTAGCACACGCCTTTAATCCCAGCTTTCCAGAGGCAGAAATCCATGTGTTCAAGGATACAGCCAAGCATGGTGACTCACGCCTTTAATCTCAGAAAGCGAGCCTTTAATCCCAGGGAGTGATGGTAGAAAGCAGAAAGGTATATAAGGCGTGAGAACCAGAAACAAGAAGCATTTGGCTGGTTAAGCTTTTAGGTTTTGATCAGCACAGTTCAGCTGAGAGCCATTTGGAGATGAGGACACAGGCTTCCAGTCTGAGGAA